TTTCAGTGATTAAGAGACATTATTTATTAGACATTTATAGCTGTTTTGTCATTCTTCCTGGGTTAAAAGTTTGAAACCTGCATATTAATCACCATCCATTGGTCATAGTCAATAGAACACTATCATAGTTTCTAGTTTTTCTCCCATGTGGTTTCTCTGCTTAAAACTCTTCATCAGCCCCACAAGTTCATATCTGATCATAGCTGTGCTCAGGGTACCAGAGGTCCCCAGCTCAGCATTCAGTGCAGGAGCATGCACATGAGGGGCTGCCGACAGGCTTCAAGAAAGATGAATGTGCTGTGTAGAGGTGATATCGTAGGATGGACTTGCTGACGTAACCTCCCCAGGCTCTTGGGAATGTGAACATCATTTGCCTCTTGCACTTCTCGAGTACACTGACCCTAATTAGAGGACCTGTGGCTTATTTTGGTTGCTCTTTACTGATTTTGACCCAGTGTTCTGTTGGACCAAGATGGTTCTCAGCTTGGCTTTAGCATAGTAGTCTCCTGGAATAAGTCTTACTGTTCTCTGTGGTTAGCTAGATCATTGCTGTCCATGTGCCGGCTTGGTCTCCTTGATCTGATCTTTATGGGATTTGGGGCATGATTCTGACCTTGCTCTGTGAGTCTTCCCTGTCCTCAGGATGCTGCGCTCCTCCTAGATGATGAGACACCTGTGGTCAGTTTGCTTGCAGTCAGAAGATAAGCTGTCATCACTGTTACTTCTCTTCCAGCTGTTCAGTCAGGAGACAGTAATGAAGTTTGTGCCACGGTATAGCCTCGTCCTGGAAATCAGTGACAGCGGTGCCATCCGGAGAAGTCTGCATGATCCTGATGGACTGGTGGCCACCTATGTGAGTGAGGCACATGAACATGATGGACATCTGTACTTGGGCTCCTTCAGGTCCCCCTTCATCTGCAGACTCAGCCTCCAGTCTGTTTAGCCAGCCCAGCAGCTGCTCCCACCTTGCATGCCAGGAATCATCACACTCAGCCACCTTCCTGGTCCAGAAGGAGCTGTGGACATAGCTCTGTTGGCGTTCCTGTCAGTCCACTGAATTACGGTGGGAATAGCTGCTACAATCCCGAGAATGTGAGAGTCCCCAAGGGATGCCACTCATCTGGATTTGATGGCACCTCTAATTAGAGGGAAACAGCATATCTGCTGTGGGGAAGATGAGTTCATGGAAAGCCATTTTTTCTTTAAAAAATTGCTCTCTTAAGTACAAGAATTCTCTAGGACTTGTAAAACTTTATATACTTTTCACAGGGCTCAGGGTTTAGTGGTTAGAGCAGCAGATGAGCTGCCCATAGACGTTACTGTTGCTGCTGGATCTGTCTGCCAGCCTGAGTGTCTTCATTCTAAAGTTGTCATGCTTTGGCGGATGGCATGGAAGGGCCAGTGCAGGTGTGTTGAGGCTGTCTGTAGGGATCATACAAATTGAAGCTTAGATTGCCCCCGGGCTGTGTGGGATGCAGACCCTGGGCTCCTGGTATTCATCTACAGTTGAGAGGTGCCAGCTTCCCTTCACACAGTTTTTCAAGACGCCTGTTCCAGTGGCTGAGAGGACTTCATGGGGCTTTTTCTGTGACTGCTTACCTGCTCTAACGGAATTGGGTGACCCAGCAAGTCAGTACCTACACAGGAGTGCATTTGGGAGTATTCTTTCTATGCCTTGATTTCTCACCTCTAGACCTACAGGTGTGAGTAGTG